GTTTTTGGTTTTGGAGGGATTATTATTAGGCGTGTGGAGTAAGGAAACTTGCCCAAGGTTTCGCCCTCTGCCTGGAATTGAACTCAGGTCTCTCGCTTTCAATGCGAGTTCTCTAACCACTGAGCTACAGGACTCCACAAAAATGGAGTCATGAAGTGAATGACATGAAGTGAATGACAATTTTTTATTTTTTATGTTTTGAAACAAAAATTGATTGAGAGCAAATAAGAGGCAGAGAGATGCAGGATTTGTTTTGTTTCTTGGGAGGAAAGGAAAGTGTCGGTGCAGCGCTTTGCACTCTGTTCATTGCCAGAAGAATGAACATCAGTTCATTGTGTGTGTGTTAGAGACAAATGTCAGGATTTCAGAAGGGAGCATTCGCAAATAAAATACATTTTCCCCAGTTAATGCATCAAATAGGATCAGCGGCAGATACACAGTAATGTCATCAGCTTAGTGAGGGTTTGGCTCAAACAACCAAGAATCAAAGGTGAGTCGTGCTGATGCTCTAGCAGTGCCTGGATATCTGTGTCTGCAACATTCAAGAACTTTTAACACCCACGGGAGATGTAAAAGTGGGAGTTTAGTTGTGTGTAGATATGATAATAATCCTTGCATTTCATGTAGCGCTTCACAAGATTTAGTGTGGAGTGGCGGAACACTTTGCACTATCGAGCTGTGTCTTACTCAAGCAGAGGACTGAGGAGCCAGAGTATAGCTGCACTCTCTGCTCATGTTTCCCAGCTGCAGCTGCTTGTTTGAAGTCAGTACCTACAACATACTGTAGCTGGGCCAGAAATGTGAGTTGAAAAAAACTAAGTGCTTCATAATGTCAGGTGGCCAGGTACCGTATGACAGAGCCAATGGAGCCGTTTCTAACCTTGAGGCTCCGTGAAATGCTCTTAGGCAGTGCTCTCATCCCATAGGAGAGAGGAGGAACAACTGATGGAAGAGGGCTCCTTCACTCCTGTCCAGGGTCCCACATTACAGAGTAGTAGCAATAATAATAATAATCATTCCATTTGATGTAGCGCCTTATCATGTTGTTGAGACATCTCAAAGTGCTTCACATGAAATATTATAAAGTGGATTGACTGTGTATTTTGTGGGCGAAACGGGCAGCCAGTTGTGCAAAGCAATGGCTCACAAATAGCCATGGAGTGAGTGACCAATTTTATTTGGGAGATTGTTGGCCAGGACACCGGGAGAAACTCCCTTCTCTTTCCAAATATTGCCATGGGATCTTTAACATTAATAATAATAACATTCACTTCAACAGGGAGATGGGATCTCGGTTTAACATATTATCCAAAGGACGCCACCTCTGACAGTGCAGCAACCCCCCAGCACTACATTGGAGTGTCACTATAGATTATGTGATTCCACGTCCTGACCCACAGCCTTCTAACTCAGAGGCAAAAGGGCTACCACTGAGCCAGGCTGTCATTCTCACCAGCCATGCCTTCAGGCATATGAAGGTAGCCACAGCTATCGCTTTCTATCAGGTAGAGAATATATACTGGGATCATTAGGAAGAAGACAATGGGAAAAGAAGGTGAAAGTAGGATGTTTAAAGGCTCAGATGAGCTGTGTGCTCATGTGCTGTGTGAGTTACATATAAAATACTTGTTTGACTCTGGTCTTTTCCAGGACCCCCACTCCCCCTCTATCCCACCATCAACGGGTGAGCTTTCAGCTGCTTTGCCACTGCTCTCTGGAGCATTCTGCCAAAATCCCACCATCTCCCTTCCACCCCCACCCTCCCCACTTTCAAAGCTCGTCTAAAAATACAATCTCTTCAATTGCATCTTTGGCCATTCACCAACCCCCCCCCCCCCCCCCCCGTATTTTCCACTCTCCTTGTATTCTCACTTCACCATCTCTATAAAGCACTTTGAGACATTCTTCTATAAGCGAAGGGCTTTTTTTGCGAAGATGAATATGTGGGGGTTGGGGGGGTGCGGTTTGTATTAACTTTAAAAACAAAAAACAAATAAAAATAAGACTTGGATAAAAATTCAAGGAGTAAAATGAATGATTGCGTCTCTTAACAGAAGTGGGTGCCAGGCCACGGCCTGTTATGTGAGGCGCGGGAGGAAGGAGACCTGCTGTCCTGTCTAGTGTTTCTCCTCAGCACAAAAGCACAAGTGGACCTCATCCAAGTGCAGAGTGGGTATCCATGACAACAGGAAAATTATCTGTAGATAAGTTCTTTTGTCTATTATACACTCCATTCAGCATTTTCTCATACATCAACAACTTAGGTGCTGTTTAACAAAGAATTTGAGTTCTTTGCTTATGTATCCTAGCAGCTGTTGAGCTGGCAGGTGTGTGTGTATATGTGTGTGGGTGTGGGGGGAGTGGGAGGCAGGGGGTTGGAGGGAAGAGAGGGCTTTTATTCTGAAGCTAATTAAAGTTGAACTTGTGTTGGTTGATAACCTGTAAAGATTAAAGTAGCTGGTTCGAGCCGTTTTTCTAAGGGCTTTATGGTTTTAAACCAATACTCCTCTTGTTTTCCTAATCGTATTCAGGTACTTGAAGGGTACGTGATCAGATGATGCCTGGTACAGTACTCAGTGGTTTCATTCTTCCCCCGATTAATAATATCTGGCTTGCATGCAGATTAATTTCGGCATTAGCATGCTGTTTCTGCGAAGGGATTAATTTTCTGAGGTGGAATTATAAGGTCGCCAAATGTTCTGAGCGCGTTATCGTGTTTTCACATGCGTGGGTCTGAAACTGGCCAAGCAGGGCATGTGCCAGGGAAATCAAAGTTTCAGCCTTTGTTCTTCATCAGGCACTGGATTAAAGGCTCAACCCAGATTCATTTTTTTTGGGGGGGAATAAATGTCTGCAGATCTTGCATTGCACCTAATCCTGCTGCACATACCAGGTACCTAATGGGCCCAGACCCAATGGCTTAAGGTTTTTTTTAACCGGTTTTGCTGGAATGAGTTTAGTGTTCAGTGGGCAGTCCTGTCTGTCATGAGTACAAGCAGAGCCGAGTGAGAAGCAGCACGGTGATGTGTGAAGGCTGCTGAGAGTGAAAGTACATGGCACCAGAATGCTCCGTTGTACAGTGAAGACCTTCCTCAGGTATCAGTATGTCTTCGATATTTAATTCTCTATTTAACAGAGTAGCTATTCTTTCTACCTGTGAATATATGAAATGCAACAATGCTGAAGTGCACAGTTTAGCACTGAACAACTTCTACAATAGAGAACTTTATCTCTTGCAAAATATATTCTACAGTCAATAGCCATGAGTGCAAAACCTTTTTTCAGTCCTTTGTAATTGAAACTGATCATGTTTTCTTAAACATACGGAGCAATTGCTGTACGTTTGCCACAGTAGAACATTTGTTTCCAGGGAAGTTTGTCTGCTATTTTTAATAGCTTAGCTTTACCTAATTGATTCTTATAGCAATTTATTCCTCACCTGAGGATTTGTGTCGAGTGTACACAGACAAGCATTCACATAGAACAATTTTAACACGAAAAGCTGTACAACTCTGGTAATTGGTGGCTGGGAGACATTTTTGGAGGGTTCGAGATCAACAAAGTGCTGAAGCACCTTGTGGGTTTGTGTTTCGGAAAGGGGTGGCTAATTATTATTAGTTTGGTTAAATCCTAGCAGAATGCTTTCCTAACTTCATTCACAAGTGAAGGACAGGTAACTATTATATCTGAAAGAGTACAGCGATCTTTTGCCTGATGTTGAATTGTTCACCCTCCCACGCATACACACAAACAAATGTCTCAGTTGAAAACAATACAATTGTATATGAAGAAAACCTTCATTTAAAGGACACGAACATAGTGTTTAGTTTACCTGCCCTCTGCCAAACGTTCCATGTTTATGTCAGATTAACCTGTATCAGAATTCATGCAGACTGATAACCTCTGAATTGGCAGAAGAAATAACCCCCACAGAAATGCACGGGGGATTTCTGACATCCAATAAACTGAAGCTGCATTTCAGAAATATATTTAAGTGGACTAAATCTTGTGATTGAAACAAAATTGTAGATTGTTGGATCACAATTCTCGCAGTTCTGTGTATCATATTCTGCCTGAATAAAAAAACTCCATTATCTCATCTTATTTCCTGGCTGTTGTGTTCAACAGTTTTTTTTCCTCTTTTACTGACAGCAGAGGTGATGTTCTCAACCAGGTAACGTAGACAATCAGGACAATTTGGATGCTGTTACTAGTTTCTGGACAATTTTTAAAGAAAAACGATAAAGCTTCACGGGATTCAATGCGTTGGACTAGAAAAGGTATCATTCAAGGTGTTGCTTTGTTGCTCCATAATACGCAAAACATACAGTCCCAAAGAATATGCAGTCTATTCACTTTACAGTATATTCTGTGAAATGCTTTGAGACATTTCAACTATGTGATAAAGTGCTATATCAAATGCAAGGATTATTATTATTATAAAAAATGTGCATGTGGGTTGTGGGGCTATGAAAGTAACAGCCATATGGTAAAACAAGTCTCAGTTCCCCTTGGGTCACAGATTTCCATTGTGGGAGCCAGGTTTTACAGTACATGTCATAAAGAGATTAGTCATTCGGAATCTCACAATGTCACCTCTTTAAATCTTCACGACTATTTTCTGCAGAATGCATAGTTGATACATTAGAATTATTTTTAAAACAATGACTGTTTTTCTTTAGCTACATTTAGTCGGGGTGACAATTTTGGAAAACAGACTATTTTCTATTGCAGATCTTTCTTGGTTTCCTTCAGGTCTGTTAGCACCAAGACTTCAAGCCAGATATATCCATAGCCAGATGTATCCATAGTGCCATGAGGATGCTATAAAACAGCTGAAATGTTTTTTTTTGGGGTGGGGAAAGTGGTGGGGGGTGAGGGGGCAAGGGGGCGGGGGAAAGATACCGTCTTTTCAGCTGGCATATATATTTTGATCACACGCCAATGGAATGAGTGAATGGGACATCTCGTTCCTTTACAAACTTTTCTGCACTGAGATAATGTGGTAAGTATCAAAGCTACTACAGGCAAGTCAGAGTCAAGTCACATTCTGTAATACTCATTCACCATGGAGCCCTCACAATGAGTCTGGCAGCACTACTGAAACCTAATCTTCATGTGAAGAAGAGAAAAGGTATTTTATTGTTGCGTCAGTGGCATTTCTTTTTATTCAATGAGTTTCTTACAATGCTTCTCTGTTGTATAACTAAATAAATCAAATGCAGCCAACCGCTTACCTTTAAAGTCTTCCTGTGGGAATATTCCGGTGGGAGTATTCTTATGGAAACTCCTTAAAGGTTATTCATTTTCATTAGGAATTTTGTGGGACCCTGAGATCAAATTTTGGGGACAAACTTGTGAAGGTTTCTACATTCCATTATTACCTGAAGCTGGCACAGATGTTCAAAGTCCATGTAACATACTGCACTGTATTCCCCTTTTGTAGGACACACCAGCAGAGAACCTTTAGGTTACAGAAAGGCCACATGTAGTTTTCCTTTTTGCTTGCATGCCAAGGGAATCTATACATTATCTCTAGGCTTTCTATTCATAACCTATGAACATTGCTCTTGGATTTGCCAGTGGGTTCTTTCCAAATATACAAAGTTCTGCATATAATAATAATAATGTTATACAGTAATAGTGCATGCTGGCGTATCGTAACAATATAGAATATATGCAATTCTCAGCCCAGTGAATAGAAATAAGTTTTGAAAATATTCTTGATACATCAAGTGTTAGAGTACATATAATCAATGAAATATTTTTCTAAATATATTAATTTCACGTTTTTGTGCACAAGACTCTTTTGAAGCATATAAACAACAACAAGAAATTGCACTTACATAGTGCCCTCCACATATGGTAGCACATAAAAGCAAACACTATTAGATTGGGAGTTAGATCTGCCATTTGTGTGTCACTGACATAAGCTTTAAAGTGGGTTCATTCTCTGACAACTGTGTATACACATCCAAAAATCAATCTTGTTTAAGCTTATTGAATGACACTGTTTACATTTCTTCACAAAGAATGTTTGAATGGATCCTTCTGCATTGACATTGACTTCCAAAAGATCAAATGATTTTTGTCTTGTTCCTTTGCATATTCTTAAACTAATCTCAAATTCTGAAGTTTTCTTCACGCAATCTCAAGCCCTGAAAGATTAAAGAGAAATGTCTGATAAAATTGAATAGATTTTTTTACATTCCAGTCAGCCTCATTAAGTCAAAAAAACAAAATTGACGCAATCTGCAGTAACTGGTTGGGTAGCCTGAGACTATATTCCCTCCAGTTCTGGGGACTGGTGGGAATTATCAAACTAATTAATAAGAGCTTAACAAAGGAAAACCCAAATGAAATGTCAGCTGGAGTTGAACTCTTTAGTACAGTAGGCTGAACATGTCAGTCCTTCCATGTGCGCATTCAGCTTTGACAAGTGATTTGATACTCCAGCTTTAATGGAGTTAATGATGGCTTAATGGTACCCTGCGGAATGGGCTGAGTAAGGAATTGGTGTCAGTCCACAATTGGTCTCTCAAAGAGTCATTAGTGCTCCTTCGATGTACGGAAACCATGGTAGAAAGGATCGCCCCGACGGGTGGTAGGGGCTGTTTGCTTTGTAAACTTTACCCAGAGAGTAATTTTTTCTTGTTGTGGGGAAATTTAAGCCCTTTCCCCCCTCTTTTCTCTTTAATGAGATTTTCTGTCTGTTCCTCCATCAGCACTCTCCCAGCATCATCAAACTCTGCCGAGAGGATGTGGGTGACCTGCTACCATCCCCATGCCGATGAAACACTGACACTGCCCGTGCCCCTGCCCAACACTGTCCTACAGTAAATGTAGCTCAGATCAATAGCTCAGTACATGATCATGAAAGCTAAAGGGTACTCCATTGCACTCCGCCACCCTTACCACCCCACTGAGTCAGCTTGGCAAAAAGAGAGGCTGTTTAACATGAGCCAAGCAGGACAGATACCTGCTCCTAGTGCCTGCTCTGCCCTTCCCCGTCTTGGAAATGAGCCAGGCTGGCGGGTCTGTCATCAGCAGAGCCTTGTACTGTGGACCTACCTGACTCAGGAATCAGACAGCTGCGTCCTTCACAGATTATTGACTCAATTCCAATTTTCTGTTGCCAAGCATGTCAACTTGGAGCCAGGTCACCTCCGAAGAGATACGTTTAGCCTCTCTCACCCACAACGATAACTAAGTTCTTAGTATATACACTTCTAAGCAGATTCACCCATTTTTCTACTGTTCCAGCTCCAAGGTCTCATAAAATAAAAGTAGCTCGTCCTCTGATAACAGACTTTTAATGACAATTTGACTCATCAAGAACTCCTATAGAAGCTATTAGATTCACCAATCACATTTCCTTAATCACAAGCTTTTTGCATTTATGCTTGCCAAAAACAACCATGTAGAGGGATTAAAGACGAGGATTGGGGATTACTTCTCCATATTTTTGCTTTTAATTTGCTTAGATTGGTTCAGACATTGTTGTGCATAACTGACTGCTGCTTTTCGCCCACAAAATATACAGCCAATCCACTTTACAGTATACTCTGAGATTCGCTTTGAGACATCTTGACGACATGATAAAGAGCTACATCAACTGCAAGGAGTATTTATTAGATTTGCTTTAGTGGCAGGAGAATGTAGCTGGGAATTGAACTCTTTTCTGATTGGGATGTCCTCCCGACACGAAAGGGGGGGAGAAATATACGTACTGGTACAGGGAATTAGTTACTCTCCTACAATATTAACCATCATACATTTGAACGCTTGCCAGCTTTTAATGAATAAGTTACATTATTTGTTAAATCCCAGGGATGTTTTTTGGGGGGGCTGGGGAGGGGGCTAATTCTTACACTGATGCAGATATTGTATGCAAGGCTAAATTTATTGGAAATTTTGGATCTTATCATGGTGTCTTTTGATATCTGCTCCATTTTATCAGGGAAAACTGTCTGGGAACACATTTGAAATCTTCAATTAAATTGTGTTTCGAGAGAGAAGGGCTTAAGCTTTTGCATGAGTATGTGAGCACATATAAGAGTATTAACATTACCAGCTGGTTCCTGAGGCTTCCTTTCTATTCTCGTCTTTGCTTTTGCTATATACTTAGAGGAAATTTTAGATGCAGTGTTGATGTTCAAGCCTCTTAATGAGTACTTTGCGTGAAGCTATCCTCACCTGTTCAGCTGGTAGGACTCTGGATTACAAGGAACAGTGCCTAGTTCTGCTGAAAGGGCTTCCTGACAAAGCTAGATTGAGGTTGGTTTAAATAGCAGAAATTAATTAATCCTGGAGGTTAGATTGGTGGGGTGTGGACCAGAAGGAAGTTGCCTGTAAACCATTGATTGACAGAGTAAAACCAACACTGAACTTCCTCAGAAGGTAAGAATGAGACAAGTCAATTAGATTCATCTAGCTCAGTTTAGTTCATTGTAAAAGCCCAGCTTGTATTTGAAGACCTCTAGCCAGCATTTAGAAAGACTGACCTAATCATACACAGATTATAAGGCTGTAAGGGGAGAAAGGAGTGGGTAATGCCAGCAGCCTGTGTGAGGTTTTCTTAATTCTGACATATTCAGTGCAGTTCTAGTCTTCTGATTCTCTTCTGTGATAACAAATGAATGCATTTGTGGAATACATGCAATTGGTAGCTGACAATTATCGAAGACTTCAAAGTCAGCAGTACAGTGCCCATTATCGTCTGATGCATCTCAACAGGGATTGCAAAAACCCAATCGAGGTCATCTCTTGTTTTTTAAATCCTATTTAATTTTATTTTCGGAAAGAAAAGGGTCTGGAATCAGAGTATCATAAAATGAAGACGGCAACAGGAATAAAGAAAACTTGGTTTAATTAAGGATCAGTTGGCTGGCTGCTCATTATTTTCTATTGGAATAACCTTTCATTCTAAAGCTCCTGTGATTTGGTTTCCCACTGATAACAACAGGAATGAAAGGCAGTGGACGGACTACAAAGTTCCCAGTTTGAAATGAATTGCTGAAGTTTTACTTACTCCTGAAGGGCTGTGCAAATAATAAGACATGAGAAAGTTATTAAAAATACTGAAAAGTCAACTTTTTACAGAATGCACATTAGCAAGGCAATAGACTGAAAAATACCATGTTTCATAACAGATTTGATAATTATCAAATGGGTCATCAAAACATCACATTTTCAGCCTGTTGTTTTTATCAGTGGGTGAAGAGGTTGGCTTCATAGTGGCTTGTGCTGAAGTTTGTTCACATAGTCCAAGGTTTATGTGAGATTAGTGTGTTCACAAATGATTTTGGCAGGTGAAAAATCCATACTGACCATGCTATTAGTGAGTGCCATCCTAACCTTGATATTCGGAATGTCTTCAAATGTATACAAGAGGGGGATGTGCATCAAATAGAAGGGATAGATATAGAAAAGGAAATGGTGCTAAAGAAATTGATGGAACTCAAACAGGACAAGATACCAGAGCCTGATGATTGCATCCGAGAATGTTGAGAGAAGTTGGGAAGGAAATAGTAGATGCTCTGACTGCAATCTTTTGAACAACCTTGGATACAAAAGTTATGCCAGTAAGCTGGAGGGTAGCTATTGTAACACCTATGTTTAAAAAGGGAGAACAGGACAAGATGAGTAATTATAGACATTTCAGACTAACATCCCTAGTCGGCAAACTTTTAGAGGCTAGATAATTTGCGATAATATTAATAACCACTTGGAAAGACATGGATTGATTTGGACACAGATTTATTAAAGGTAAGTATTGCTCCACAAATCTAATAGTTCTTTGATAAAATAACCAAGAGAATAGATAAAGGTAATGCTGTGGATGTGGTATGTACAGATTTTCAGAAGCTTGTGATAAGGCTTGAGGATCCATGGTATTAATTGGGACATCCTCCCGATGTGAAAAGCGCTATACAAATGTAATTTTGTACGGTGTTTTGTATTAATTGGAGGAAGCAGCATAGATAGAAAGTTGGTTAAAGGAAATGGAGGGTGGAAATATAGGGTTGTTATTCACAATGGAGTTAGTGGTGTCCACTAGGGGGTAAGAGTTAAGAGCACAATTTTCTCCATTATATAACTGATTTGGATTGCAGATCAGTTGTATAAGTGCACAATTTCTCATTTTGCAGATGCCACAGAAGTAAGGAATACTGCTAACAGCAAAAACGATTGTAAGCAAATACACGTGGACATAAACAGATTATATGATGGGGCAGAAGAATGGCAATTAAATTTAATGCTGGTAAAAGTGAGATTATACATTTTGAGAGGAAGAATAAGGAGAGCAAGTGTATGTTAGGTAATAATATTTTAAAAGGTGTGGAAGAGCAGAAGGGGTTAGCATACATAAATCCTTACAGTTAAGAAGGCAGGTGAACAAAACTGTCAAGAAAGCAAACAGAATCCTAGGTTTTATAAATAGAAATAGAGATTATAAAACCAAGGAGGTAACACTAAACTTATGAATCATTAGTTAGCCCATAGTTAGAATATTGTGTCCAGTATTAGTCACCCAACTTCAGGAAAGACCTCAAGGCAATAAAGCAGGTTCAGAGGAGATTTACTAGAATGATACTGGGGGATGAGTGGTTTGGCCTATGAGCAAAGACTGGAAGAACTGGGATTATTCCATTGGAACAAAGAAGGTTGAGGTGTGACTTGATAGAGGTCTTTAAAATTATGAGGTGTTTTGACAGTCAATAAGGAGAAATTGTTTCGACTAGTCAGGAAAGGGCAGCAATTTAAAAAGATGAGCAAACGAGCAATTTGGGAGATGAGGAGAATTTTTCCTAAACATAGTACTCATAGTTGTAATGCCCTGAGGGGAGCGATGGTTGAGGCAAAATCCACGGTAGATTTCAAAAGTGAACGAGATGAATATTTAAAAAGGAGTCAACTACAGTGGGATGAGGAAAGGGCAGGTAAACGGGCCTGAAAGTATTGCTCTTAAAGGAGCCAGCAAAGGCACAATGGGCTGAATAGCATTCTTGTGTGCTGTAAATTTCTATGGTTCTCTCTTTAAAACAAAACCTCAATTTCCAGAAAGTTAGGCGACTTTGTCAAAAACAGCTAAAATGTTTTGTTGTATCTGATAAGACAATCTGGTATTATAATGTCTGCATCGCTCATATAAACATGTGCATCTGATTTTCCTGCACATAGAAATCATAGTTGGAATGCCATGTGAATTTGAACAGTGTAACGGCAAAGGGGAAATCGTGTTGGATTTCACACTGAAAGTCTGTTGTATATAAAACTAGCTGTAACGCATGTCTTACTAAACTTCAAGAAATTCAAAAGAATGGCTTGAAAATCCTTCAACATATGTTGTGTCCAAAGTCACTGTCATTCACTTCATGGTTGTTTGTGGGAAATCTCTGTACGCAAATTGGCTACTGGATTCGTCTACAAAAACACATGGTCATTACCATTTATGATGAATCCTGTGAAGCAGTTTGAGGTGTGCCCCTGACGTGAAAAGATGCCAAAGAGCATTTTGTTGTACATTATGTGTTCTTCTGAGTTAAATCTCTTAAAATCTGTAGCTTTACCATCTTTGAAGTTGCAATGACACAAACTAGTGAGTGGGAGAGAATCTGCAGCATGTTAGAACTTTGCACTGACTCGAGAACCACATTAACCAGAGCACTCAGCTCAAGCAATTTATCTGTTGAGAAAAAAAATCTACAAATTGTTGATATATTTTACAAAGACAGTAACTTTTTTTATTTTAAAATATAATTTCCTGGTCATACATTTATATGTTTTTATATATTTCACTAGGTCATAAAGACTGGGAGGTTACAGGTTGGAATCTTGATCTGTGCTGAGCTAGTTGATCTTAGCCCAGGTCCTCAGTGTCCTGGGTTAGAGAGGAGACAATCATTTAGAGTTCCTGCTCCTGTTTGCTATCCAGAGCACCTGGTGTAAAATGAACATCAAATGAGGACTGGATCAGGATGACATTCTCTGTAGTTGACCTCTGTAGTAGTTGACATTCTCTGTAGTAGACCTCCACAAGCTGCAGGACATTCAGAACTCTGCAGCTCGTGTACTGTCCCGCACCAGGCTTCGTGACCACATCACTCCCACCCTCGCTTGCCTCCACTGGCTTCCCATCCCCCAGGGAATCGAATTCAAGATCCTTATCCTCACCTACAAGGCCATTCATGGCTTGTGCCCTCCTACCTCTCCGACCTACTATCCCCCGACGTACCTGCCCGTACCCTCCGTTCCTCTGGCTCCGGTCTGCTCCACATCCCCCGCCCCAACCGCCCTACCATCGGAGGCCGGTCCTTCAGCCTCTCAGCCCCGAGGCTCTGGAATTCTATTCCCCAGTACCTTCGCCGCCTCCTCCCTTTCCTCCTTCAAGGCCGGTCTCAAGACCTTTCTCTTTGACCGTACCTTCAGCTCCCCTCTCAACTCTCTACCCCCTCCTCGCCCCCTACCTTCCCTCCCCTCACCCTGACCATTTCCCCGCTGCTCGGGTCCTGACCCAACTGTCCAGCGCTTTGGGACGTCCTCCCGACGTGAAAGGCGCTCTATAAATGGAATCTTGTTGTTGTTGTTTTTGTTGTTGAGTAACTTGCCAACACTCACTTTCAAAGCTCAAACATACCACTTGACCAAAATACCCTAAGCATGTCTGGCACTATAGAATCATACCCCATAAAATAAAATGCAAAAAGGAGTCTGAAACCTTCTGAGTTATATTTAGTTGTATAAGCTAATCAATAAATCACAGAATGAAACATGATAAGAGTATTTGAACTGCACTGCTTTGATTACAAAGCCCATTCTATGATGGGAATTGCACTGAAGTTTTGCTCTTTTTCTTTCAGGCTCAGAAATCATGGATAGAGAGAGTGTTCTACAAGCGGGAATGTGTTCATATAATACCAAGTTCCAAAGACCCCCATAGGTAATGAAAACAAAGTTCCGGGCTGAATGAATATGTACAGTCCACTCACTTCACCACACTCTGGTACATAAATTTGCATCAGGTGGCTCAGTAATGTGTCAGCCTGGCACGGTAATGTGTCAGCCTGGCTCAGTTGATAGCACTTTTGCCTCCGAGTCAGAAAGTTGGAAGTTCAAGCCCCATTTTGAAACCTGGAACTCATAAAGTCTATCCTGACACTCCACTGCAGGGCTTGGGGAGTGCTGTTTTATCAAGAGGTACCATCCTTCCGATGAGGAGTTAATCCAAGGCCCCATCTACCAACCAGGTGGACATTAAAGATCCCACGACATTATTTGAAATGAGAATAATGTATTACAGAACATTTTTCTGATTGCTGAGTGGATACGTGAGCTGTGGTGTCCCAGTTTGATCACTAACCTGACTTGACTGAGTTATACCATTGATTCTTGCCTGTGATCAATATTCAGTAATGCCCCCATCCCCTGGAAATGTGTAGTCTGCAGATGCGGACAGAATCAGTTCATCTATGATGGCCAACCCTCATGGTCAAATGACTCTATTGAGATTCATTGCCAATATCTCAGAATTTAGGAGAGTGCCTTAAAGCTGTTGGAACTGTACTTTAGTATTAGACACTGTTTAAATAAAGTGGAAAACAATCACATAATATAGTAAGAATCTTTAAAAGCACTGATCTTAAAATATAACATTGCTCACAATTTTGGAAAACTCTTAAGTGGACCCTTATTTTGGAAAATGTTTTTCCGCCATTCCACAGAAACGGAAATGAATAAATTTCCAAAATTCTGCACAATCTTAAATTTTTAGATTGTGGTCTTAATGGCAGGACACCAAGAGTAATTACGAGCTAAAGATTGACATTTTTTAACCTAATGATCAAATCATAGTATTTGTACTGACTTTATTTTGTGGTTCGATGTGATCTAGAAGAACTTAACAGTGCCAGTTCCTGTGGAATAAAATCTAGTGAACCTTTTGGCCTTATTTGCACAAAGGTAAATGCAACAAACACTTTTTATTTCTTCCAATGGCAGGTGCTGCTGTGGGCGGCTAATAGGGCAACACGTCGGACTGCCTCCAGCTATTTCCATCAGTCAGAATTACAGCATTGAAGGCAGAATCACAAAGAATGATCTCCATTCAGAGAAGTGGTCCATCGCCAAGCACACTCAGCTCAGCCCCACAGATGCCTTTGGGACCATCGAGTTCCAAGGAGGAGGACACTCCAACAAAGCTCTGGTAATGAAAGCTCTCTCAGGAAGGTGGGGGCAGTGGGGGTGGGGGTGCACTTTAAACACTGCAAGATGCTAATTATTTAATGTACAACGTGGGAATGTCATGCATTATTGTTGGTTTGATTAATAATGATCATTCTCATGAAAGCAGAGTTGAACCTTCAACAAAAAGTCAACATGGAGTCCTATAGAGTAGAGATTAGAGCACTTATCCTTTAATTCCCGGGCAGGGCAAACCTTAGGCAAGTTTCCTTCTCTACACGCTTCTGTTTACCTAGCAGTAAGTAGGAACCCGGTTGTTAGTCGATTAACAGATCGCTTTCCTGGGGTAATAATCCCTTAAAAAAATATATAATTTTGTCACTTAATCCACTGGTCACTGTTTGTGGGACACTGCTGTGCGCAATTGCCACAAAATATAAAGTCAATTCAATTTACAGTGTATTATGTGAAGCGCTTTGAGACACCTCAATGGTGTGATAAGGTGCTATATCAAATGCAAGTATTATTACTTAAAAAAANCAAATATTGACTCTGCTTAGGTTGTCCACTGAAAGGATTAATACCACAGAAATTCACCGTGATTCCTGTGGTGGTTGCTGAAGTTCTGTAATAAGGCTCCAGGAATCTTCCCACAGTTAGCTCCCGAATTGTAGTTCCTTTTATTATTTATGTGGTATGATTTGTGAAATTCACACAATAAAAAAAATACTGTGGGTGCTCATACATGCTTGAAGCCAACTCACTCGAGCTTGACGAGCTCCGATCTCCTGGGAGCCTTCAACTTCATGGCAAATTTCTTGGCATCCCTGGTATTCGAGCAACATCCGAATATCCACATGATTCACATTCAATCAATCCCTCTTTATTCTTATATTAGACACCAGTGTGGGTTTTAATGTCTACAGTTGTTTATTTCCTAGATTAAACATATTTTCAAAGTTAAAATGTTTAAGATTCTTAAAAAGCAACATCTCAGAGGGGACCTTATAGATATACTGTTAATAAAATTCTAAATGGGATTGAGAAAATCAAACCAGAACAACACTTGAGGAATGCAATGCAGTGGGGAAAAAAAAGGGCACAGGTTCAGGTTTGTGTGGGCAATTTCAGAACATACACCTCTTTATGCAGAGAGTGAATAATGGCTGGAACAGGTTACCAGGATGGCTGTTTGAGACCAGGATGCTGACTCACTTAATAAACAGCTTAAAGATGATACTTGCACTGGAAGGTACAGGTCAAATGGACTAAAGGGCCTTTTTCAATTATACCCCCCATGTGTAATGATGCTACACAAAACCAGGCCTGCATTACCACAATACGCATGTGTTGTTTGTCAAGGCTGCCTCACTTAATTCTCACATTTAGATCAGTTGTTGTGCTCCTCATGGTGAGGAAGTGCTGAGAATGTACGACAATTCCACTGACAGCATCAAGCACTCTTAGGTCAGGTAGACCACAACCCCAAAACAGAGTAAATTCACATTTTCAGGCCAGGTTGATTTATTAACTGTGAAGTTGCATTTGAAGGGACCGACACTTTTCACCTGCTGAGCAGACAAATAGCGTCTTGTTCAAATTATGCGGTTTAGGAATTTTCCAATCCTTTCTCATTTTTCCTATTAATATTTCTGTAACATTGGAGAAACAAAGTCCACCTCTAGAATGTAATATTCTTCCACTGCCTTTTTCTTTCCAACTTCTTTTGTAGTATGTACGTGTTTCCTTTGACACGAAGCCTGACCTCCTCTTGCATCTCATGACGAAGGAATGGCAGCTTGATCTTCCAAAGCTCCTGATCTCCGTCCATGGAGGTCTCCAAAACTTTGAACTCCAGCCTAAACTCAAGCAAGTCTTTGGCAAGGGCCTCATTAAAGCTGCCATGACAACAGGAGCCTGGATATTCACTGGAGGTGTGAATACAGGTAGGCAACAGCATTATTTATGCACAGTTCTGTTCTAGAAAAGATGTAGAATTGTACCAACTTGCAGCCATAAGAGAGAAAACGAGAGAGAGAGATGGAGAGAAAGAAAGAAGTTATTTTTATAGTGTCATATCTTGTCCAGACCAAACTCTGTACCCCTAACTCACCAGTTCTGACCAGGCTCCACTAGCTTCCCATCATCGAACGGATCAACTTCAAGATCCTCACTCTCGTGTTCAAATCCATTCATTCCCTGGCACCTCCCTACCTCTCCGACCTCCTCACTCCCTAATCCACCACCCGGCACTCCGCTCAACTGGCACCAGCCTCCTTCTTGTTTCTTGCACCCTCCGCTCCACCATTGGAAGTCGCGCATTCAGCTACTATGCCCTGAAACTCTAGAACACTCAACCCCTCAGCCTTGCCCTCTCTCCCCTTTTTCAAGTCCCGCCTGAAAGCCTTCCTTTTCAACCATGCTTACGGTCACCTCCCTTCCCCACTCCACCACCCCCACTCTGAGTCAGGCTCTGCCATTGTTAAGTGTGCTGAGACGCTACCCTGCATGGATGATGTGATGTAAGTGCAAGTTGTTGTCAAAGTCTCAAAGTGGGAACCACAATTACTGTCACGAGAAGTGACTTTTTTTTAGGCAAAGGCAGCACAAAGCTAGGTTCCACAAACAACCATGATATAAATGACCAATTTATCTGGAGGATTTTCTGTGCAAGGAGACCAAGAGAAAGTCCTTTGAATTTTTGAAAGTGATGGGATCTTAACATCCACCTGAAGGACAGGCAGATGGGCCCTTGTTTTAATGTGTCACCCAGAGGATGGCATCTGTAACAATGTTCCGCACTGAGGTGTAAGTCTAGAGTGTGTCCTTAAGATCTAACGTGGTACTTGGGCCTACAACCAGAGGCAAGAGGGCCACCAACTGAGCCAAGCTGACATACATACAGAATTATCACCCGTTGCATTTGAGTTTTGAGGACCACTTCATGCCAATACGAGCATAACTTCAATAGCTTTCCCAGTCTTCTTAGCGAGCCAGACATTACACTCAGCCATCAAAGGTGCGCTCAAGTACTGTGAACCTGCCTGGCTGTGGTGTTGAATCACTGAGTTCACTACAAAGATTTTGATTTGTCTCTGTTCCCATTCCTAGACTTCCAATAAAACTGACAGAATTGGGGTCACAGCAGTATCTCCAGGTCTCTGCACGCTATCACACTCCAGACTCTGCCAGAGTTGTAATTAAATAGCCGTGTGAGTTATGTTCAATGGGTTGCTTTTCAGGGGTCATCCGTCATGTAGGAGATGCGCTGAAGGACCATGCATCAAAATCCCGAGGGAGGATCTGCACAATAGGTATCGCTCCGTGGGGAATAGTAGAAAATCAAGAGGATCTGATTGGGAAGGACGTAAGTACACCTTGTATGTTTTAGTTGATCAATAGAATACTATTCTAATACTATAAAAATTAGCACATTGAATTACTGACATCAAAGATCACCCAGCTTTAGGCCAGACACCTAACAATCTTGTTTGTAAGGATCATTTAAAGTCAGTGTGCATGCTGGATATTCAGGTTCACTCGATCGGATAAATGACATTTACTAAGTGCAACTCGCTAAGAGGAAATCCTGCTGGTAACTGATAATATGTCACAACTCACGGACTTCCCCCACCCCTGCTCTAAAGCAGTCAGTAAGACATGACTTACTTACTGCTGGATACTGATGAGGTTCTCGAATTGTTTTTGGTGAACCCCAATATCACCCCCATAATAACAATATGGGCTGTCTCACTCTTGACAATAAATTATCTCTCTCTTCTTCCTCTCCCATCTCCTCGCCCGTGCCCCTAACCCCACCACCCCCCTCCCCATTGATGTTAAACCAAATCATTTCAGAGTTCCAGCTATGGATCTAGATCTCCTGGGTGAGTCACTTGAGATTGACAGTGTCTCAGAGTATTGAACTTTTCTTACAGGTGGTCCGGCCGTACCAAACCATGTCCAACCCCCTGAGCAAGCTGACGGTTCTGAACAGCATGCACTCCCACTTCATCCTGGCCGACAACGGCACAACAGGAAAGTACGGAGCTGAGGTCAAGCTAAGGCGGCAACTGGAGAAGCACATCTCCCTGCAGAAGATTAACACCAGTGAGTACTTTGCGCTCAATGAGGACAGGGTGTCACTGGCAGCTCTTGGAAACACTGACAAAGCCTCCTTCCTTCACTGCTCACAGCAGGTGCTTTCAGTTGCGAGCAGCCAACTGTGACTAATTTTTTTTATTAAAACACACTGAATAACTTGACGGGTGTAAAAAGAAAACTTGCACGCTTTTTTTATAGAGTGTTCTAATCCTACATTTGTGATTGTCGGGGTTTCAGGATCGTATGTAGGAAATGTAACATTTTGACTTGGCAATTGATTACGTGGAGTTAGCTACGTGGAGTCCTGTAGCTTAGTGGTTAGAGCACTCGCCTTGCAAGCGAGAGGACCTGGGTTTGCTTCCTGGGCAGGGCAAAACCTTGTTTTCTTACTCCGCAGGCCTTTGTTTACCTAGCAATAAGTAGGAACCCAGTTGTTAGCCGATTGGCAGATCGCTTTTCCAGGGGTAGCAATCCCTTAAGAAAATAATAATAATTTGATCGCTCAATCCAGGACTGTTTGTGGGACACTGCTGTGCTCAATTTGCTGCTGCATTTTGTCCACAAAAATATACAATCAATTCACTTTACAATATATTCTGTGAAGCGCTTTGAGACATCTCGAAGATGTGATAAGGCGTTATATCAAATGTAAAGATTGTTACCATTATTTGGTAATCTTGCTGTCACTGTTGTGTCCAGACCAAACCATTCAAACATAGGGATTACAGTACAGAAGGAGGCCATTTGGCACATCAAGCTTAAGATGGTGTTTATCCACTGGAACTAACTACAATTCCCTGCTCTTCCCCAGCACATTTATTATAGCTTATCTTCAAAATTACAATGTCTAAACTGAAGGTTTCCTATTCAATTAATCAGTTTAACCCTTGCACTCCAAGCCCAATTGTTGCTCTGGTTGGAACCAGCCAATTCAGCATAGAGCTGGGACCAGGGAGATCCATGTTATCCGCAGTGAATCCTCTTTTGGAGCCAGGACTGTGGGTCACAATGTACATCATGTGAAGCATTTTGAGACATCCTTTGGACATTGTATCAAGTGAAAGGCGTTATATCAAATTTAAGGATTATTCTTATTACTATTACATTCTTCATGTGCCTGGAATATCGAGTACCCTTTTCAAATGCAATCACATGGCATTATTGCTGGTGACCGTTACACACTTTCCAACAATCTGTAGAGTAGATATGAGGAAGCACAGTATCGCAGGGTGAGCAAAGGAAGGGGTGAGTGAGTAAGGCAGCATGGTGGATAGAGTGGGGTGGGGGTGGGGTTGGGGTTGGAAGAGAAAAGACATATCCAAGGTTCAGGATCGACACTATTTTAGCCAGAAGTCTCTTATCTCAATTAGGAAATAAGAAATTTATGGGCAGGGGAGAGTACAAATTTTCGCCCTTCTTTGGCAGATCCAGACCAGAAACGAACTACGAAAAGAATGCTAAAGCACACTGCTTAAAAATACAAGTTGAAAACTGCACTAAAATCAAAACTCAAAATGACATTCAGAAAGAGTGGAGGCAGCACTCTGGGATGAGGCTGATGCCAACTACTGGCCACTTAGTGCACTGCAGGTGATTCATTGTAAATGTGCATTCCATGTCGTCGTCTCTCTGCTTGCCCCACACCATCGGGTCTTCAACCTTTCTGCCCCCACCCTTTGGAACTCTCACAGTCCCTTCATATCGGAGGAGGGTGTGGATAGGATGGTGACTGAAGGCGCAGTCGAAGAGAAAGATCTTGAGATGGGCCTTGAAGTAAGAGGAAGCAAAGGAGGGGCCTCAAGACCTTCCTCTTTGACCGTGCCATCAGCCACCCTCCTACACCCACCCTCCCTGCCGTCTAACCCCTCCTGATCCCAACTCCTCGCTCAGGTGCACATCCTTGACTGTCCAGTACTTTGGGACATTCCCCCCAACGTGAAAGGCACTGTACAAATATAATTTGTAGTTAAATGCTCCATCACCCACTCTAGTAAGTCCCAATTACATCAATCTTCCCGTGAAGGAAATGTTTTTTTCTCTCTCTCTGCCCTGTTTCTGCTCGTATTGATCTTACTTTAAGCCATTATTGGATTTCTAGAATGTAGAACGTGTTGAAGAATGGCCAGTTAAATGGACAGAGCATTCTTCAACACTTTCCATGTTTTAGAATCTCGATACTTTATATTTTCTTATTCAGTAATGTGGGAAGTAATAATAATAATCCCTACATTTGATATAGTACCTTATCAGGTCTTCGAGACGTCTCAAAGCGCTTCACAGAATATACTGTAAAGTGAATTGACTTTATATTTGTAGGTGAAACATGGCAGCTAATTATGCACAGCAGTGTCCCACAACAGTTGTGGACTAAGTGACCAAATAATATATATTCTTAAGGGATTATTACCCCAGGAAAGCGATATGCCAATCGACTAACGACCAGGTTCCTACTTACTGCTAGGTAAATAGAGGCATGTGGAGTATAGAAACTTGCCCAGCATTTTGCCCTGCCGGGAATCGAACCTAGATCACTCGCTTGCGAGGTGAGTGCTCTAACCACTGAGCTACAGGACTCCCAAGTAATACCGCAAATTAGACCCTAACTTGGTCTTTAGTCATCAGGTTGTGGCATTAATATACAATAGTTGACTATTTGGCATTGTGGGCAAGGTGAATATGACCGTCATCTGCAACAAACTGATCCCTGTCTATTCCTTTCACAGATTAAACAGAGCCCAGTGAAAAGACAGCAGCACAGAGTACAGCACCCACACTGGATACTGGCACCAGTGCATTGAGCAGTTCCAACAAGCAGTACATTTAGAGGAGGGAAAGCACAGGGTGAAGGTCCGCATTCATGAAGGGAAATCAGTGAGTGGTGCTGGTACTGAGAGGTCCCTAGTGAGTGTGAGAGAAGCATCTCACTGGAAGATAGCAGGGGTCCCATGAGAAGTGTATCACTCAGAGAACTGGGGCTACCTCAGATAAAAGGAAGGAGCTGCAGCAATCCATGGAGTCTAGTATGCAATATTGGCAATCCGTATTTGTTTTGTTATTTGGAGCTTTAATTACAGTTTGCGGATGTCGGAAGATGTTTGATTTACATGATACATAAGCAGGAAAGTGCGAGTCCCAAAAGATGTCAAAGTCCAGAAAAAGGCGGGCCAACAAAATAGAGTCTCCAGGGCAGGGTAGACTAACTCTGTGGCAATGATGTGGACAGTGAGGGTAGTGTCTTAACACTGCATTTCATGTTGATGTTTCGAGGCCTGAGATTAGGCTTTGAATAAGGCTTTCCACTCCCCAGAGTAAAGGACAATGACAACAACTTATATTTATCTAGCGTCTTCCACGCAGGATAGCATCTCGGAACACCGATCAATGGTGCAGTTTGACCTTAACAATTTTCTAAAACAGGGTGTAGGCAAGCTTGATCCTGTCCTCGCCCCAAATCCACATACATTCACTTCCTGTACATGGTCTCTGGATAATGTGGAGATCCACAGTTCTATTTGGTTACTGCAGAAACATGGGTTTCCAACTAAGACTGTATTTAAGACTGTTTTCCCAAACTGAGCACATGCTTCAAATTTATGATAATAGTCTTAAGCCTAACAACATGAGAGATTTCAGTCTTGGGGTGAGAATTCTGGCAGAGTTTACCCTACCTTATGGATCAAGAGGCGCTGAGATCAATTGAGACTCCCCAGCTAAGGTCACCTACTTCAGCACACCTCAGTGATGTGGATCTGCAACCTTCACAATCTGCAAGGTTCAGTCAATCATGAGATAAATGCACTGAGCCACAAGGGGAGGTATAACCTCAGTTGATCTGCATGGAGCCCAGTTACCAGGCAGCAACGTGCAAGATTCTTTTGCTGTTAATAGAGATTATGTGCACACTAATCATGCAAAACCCTTTGTACTTCCTCTAGAAGTCCCATAGCGTAGTGGTAAGTGCACTCGCCTCAAACCCAAGGAACTGGGTTTGATTCCCAGTTTGGGCGAAACCTTAGGCAAGTTTCCTTACTCCACGTGCTTCTATTTACCTAGCAGTACAACGAAACAACAACAAAATTACATTTATAGAGCGTCTTTCACGTCGGGAAGACGTCCCAAAGCACTGAGTAAGTAGGAACCCGGTTGTTAGTCAATTGGCCAATCGCTTTCTAGGGATAATGGTTTCTGCCAGTGTGGTTAGCAAGTGATCTGGTCTTCCCGGATAATCTTTGACACCAGATTACACTGCTGGCTATCTAAGGGCATGGTTGCTGTGTGGGCAGCAGCTGCCACACTGTAAACAAATTCAAACACCCAGGTGATCACATTGTGTGAACAGCCATCTTCAGATACAAAGGACAACCATTATAACATGACAGAGGGTTATGTGAGAGGGCTCTGCCTGTCAAATAGGTGCAGTCATTCACACCCTGTATTTTGAGGGAAGAATTTGGATAAAATATTGATGTCTGGGCAGGTGCTGCCACCGGCTGTTGTCCATCATGATACAGAGTGATTTGGGCCAAATGTAGCCTCTGTAACATATCACATTATGCTTAAAATAGATACCAGGTACACAGCAGAAATAGGTCCTGTTGGGGGCTGTTGTGGCTCATCACGTTTGATCTTGTTTGATCTTTTCTCCAAGGCATGAAACAGTCATTGCTTCCCTGACTCTTCGGAGCCCTTCATCTTCCTGCCCTTCTTCCTCCTCGCCTCACATCCTGAGGTACACCAGCTGAGCTGGATAGTCAACACGAGCCTGAAAATCATTATAATCTTTGGACTTTCACAATATCTCAATTTTGCATTTCTTGCTATTAAAACTTCACCAACTTGTCCATTCCCTCCGCTCTGCAGGCACCGTCCTGCTCCACTTCCCCCACCCTGCCTGTTCCACTATCAGCGGTCAGGCCTTCAGCTTTTCTGACCCCACCCTCTGGAATTCCATCCCGGAGCCCCTCCGCATCACCCACTTCTTTCAAGGTCTGTCTCAAGATCTTCCT